CAAGTTATCCCGTCAGTTGGCAGACTTTCATGTAGCGACAATTACCGCGTAGTGGGTGTCAGATTGACTATAATGAGGAACAGGTTTATTTGCTGCTAGAATCGGCCCCAAGCCTTCTTCACTCTCCCTACTAGTCGACAGCTCGGGCCTGTCGTCTAGACGGTGGTGAGATTTTGCGAAGTGATGGAGGCGACGTGAAAGCCCACATCTTAGGGGTGCCATGCGCTAATGAACGACAGTGCTTATGGATTCTCACTCGAATCCATCATCAGAGACATTCGCGGATGGTGACACAAGGAGTGCAGTGTTTATAGCACGTGGCTGCCGTTGGACCATATGCTCACTGTAATTAACAGCTCTCACCGCTGGGGTCATAATTGATGCGGGGGTGGCTTGTCAGTCCGAGTCCGAGTCGTTTATGGCCGCGATTTCGTCGTCCGTGCTGGATGCTGGTGTGACGATTGCTCGGCAAATTGGCTCACTGTCACTGGGATAATTGCTCGCCCACACCCTCCCCTCGTGACTGATTCCCCTGCCCAGGGAAAATCTCAGCACGGAATATGGTACGGGGAGGTCATTGTGCCTGTTGATGGATTGCTGGCCTGAGAACCATGACTCGAGCAGCTCGCGGCTCACGCGGTTGTCACCCCATGCGAGGATTTCGGTCTCTTGATATTTGAAAATATGGCCGGGTCCCGTCGAGTGTGTCGCCACCTGAGAGCTAGCGTCGTCCTTCCTCACCGTTGCTGCGTGCTCGGCAATTCGCGTACGGAGTAATCTCCCAGTTTCTCCGACATAATTGTTTTGTCCGCAACTACACCAGATCCGGTAAACGATCCCAGACGTTTCTTGCCGTGGCAGCGGGTCTTTTGGCCCCATGACTTGGCGCCTAATGGTTGATTCCGGCCAGTGTGCAACCCCAACTCCAAGTGGAATGAGAAGACGACTGACGGCTTCCGAGACGTTCTTCACGTACGGAAGTTCCCGCAAAAGTTTGGGGCCGGTTGGATTTGGTCTCTGGTGTCCTTTTCGTATGCACTAGTTGACAAAGTTGCGCGAGTAACCATTGGCTCTCATTACCCGTCGAAGATATTGTAATTCAGCAACCTTGTCTTCCATTTCACTGCAGTGCGTCTCAACGCGCCGGTATATCGCCCTTACGCAACTGCGTTTGTGACTGATCAGGTAGTTGCTATTGAAGTTCAGTATTTGCATCATATTTTTCGCTTTCCTGAACACTTTGGTTTTTAGGCCACCACAATCTTTGCGGCAGACGAGGACATCCAGGAAGGCCAGCTGATTGTTTTCCTCCTCCTCCTCCTCCTCCTCC